ACTGATTCTGGCCACTCAGCGAGGCAAAAATATTAGGACCTAAGCCTAGAAAGTTTGGCTGACCAGAGTGCAATAGCAAAAACCTGTTCACTCAGCTTTCCTACAAATGATCGAGTAAGAATGGCTCTAGTGAGACTGGTAACTGGCTTTGCAGTGGTTCGTCCATCGGGATCAAAGGGGACCATTCACATCCTTAGGTGCTGCATTAGTGACGTACGAAGTGTCTACAGCACTACCACAACTGTCGCATTCCAACGGCAATACACGGCCAGAGCGACTGGAGATGAAACGGCACAGCATCACGAGGTCTCACTCTAAGCGTGCCACAGATTTTGGTCTTCCCACGCGAACCAGACCTCGTCTACTTGGATCTTGCAGATGTAGGTAACAACAAGGTCATATTAGGTAGCTCATATAGATTGGATCTCGGTATCGGAGGCAGGTTTCCCAACGGTTTAGGCTTCCAAATCAGGGCATTCAGTGCGGAGTGATAAGTGGAAGGCGTCCTAATTTATTAAGGTGGATGGAGAGTTCACAGAATCAACGTTCTACTCCATTTCTCACTATGAGCTAGTAGTAAAACTGAATCAAGCAGAATGAAGATGAGATCTAGATTAAGAGGCTAGGCAGGCAGTCCGCCTCCGGCTCTCGTGCCCCCGTCTGGGTCTGATGTAACAGTCTTTCTCTTGGGGACCGCACTGGATATGAGGTCAAGAAATCCACAAAAACAACGAAACGATTTTGTACTAGGGAGGCATCACTAGTCGTTTACCCGAAGTCAAATACCTTGTTGGCCGTTCACGTGTGGTAACTATAGCATCGGACCTGCCTGGCACGCTTTCAGTAAGGCTGGAAATCATGACATTGGGCAGCTGCTTGAACGCTGTTCACAGGTTGACGCCGATACCTGGCGACCGTAGGGGTCCACTGTTCCAGCCTTGTGGTTCACGCAATCTCTGACGTTGGAAGTTGCTAAGAACTCCCAATGAACTGGGCTAAAAAGATCCGCTTTTCCCGAGCGCTTGTATGCACACACTTATGTGCATATACGCACCTTATTGTCAACGTTGGAGGTACGACCACTTAAGTCTCGAGGGCCTTTTAAAATCGATAAATAAGCGTTCAGGGATCGTTAATGCTCATTAAACAATTCATGGATGGGCCCCCGTAGCTCAGGTGGCTAGAGCGTTGGCTGCACTAAGGCCTTTCCCTTGCTGTCGTGGGATCGAATCCCACCGAGATGACGGGTTTTTCACAGTTGGGTCAGTATGCATTAAACAATTGTCCGCAGGCCAGTAGAAGCGTCTTACCGTTCATGAGTCGAGTTGACGGTCATTGATTTTAAAACCTCGCACAGCTCCTGACAGGAATTCTCCAACTGGACAAGGGTTTCAGCGAGAGAAGTTGGTCCGCCCGTGATCTCACTGTGGTCAGTGTTAGGTTGTGTGACAGCTGACAAGTGATTAATCAGGTACAGTACACGACCATAGGCAACGTAGACACCAGCACCTGTAAAACCAATAAGGAGTTGACCTGAGAGATGTTTGAGACCTAAGTGCGCGCGGCAAAATTACGTATTAAGTTTCTACTAGGCAGATTAAAGCAAAGACTACTATTCAAATATCCAATAGTTTGGGGGTCCTTCAACTGCCCTGACAAAATCAGTCCAGAGAGTGCAAAAAGGACGTTCTTACAACAAAGAACTAGTATGAACCGTTAAAAGGTCTTCAATGATCCTAGCAAACTGGGGGTTCGACAATGTTTACATTCTTTTGTGCAAAAGTCATCTTGGAACAAAAAGAGAACAAATCCGTGGCGGCCTGACTCGCTTCTAGTGATATTTCATGCATGGCGGGGTAGACTGGACCACCTAACCCACGCCCGAGCGGCAAGTATCAGGAGTTGGCCCAGGGTCAGGTGGTGACGTTTGAAATCCAAAAAAACAAACTTTATTTTGCCGAACCGGTCGCTCATCAAGAGGGTTGAGTTGGTTGCTATCTCAGGTGGCTAAAGTCGACCTGGGTGCACGGGGTATGCATCAATCTATATTCGTTGGTTCTTGGAGAGTATCCACATTTACCGGACATCGATCCGCACTCGGAAAACAAATGTTAAAAGGGAATTATTATCAAGTCAAGCAGTCACGACAATAGCACAGTTTAGTCAGCCCTTGGGGCGGAGACTAGGCGAACTTGCCTGTGCTGAAAGAGGATGGACATCTATCTGGTGGCAGTTGGATGAATGGTTGCAAAACGCTAAGCAACCTAGAGGCTAGAAGTCCACTCGCTTTGGATTTAACAAAGTTGGTCGACGAGGGAAGGATAGTGGCAGTGGATTCCGAGTGCAAAATGAAGTCGGGGAGCAGGTGCTGCAGACAGACGTCATGAGCAGCATCCACGTGGCCTGCGGCTAGCCAATGTGCTGCTTCCAAACTGGCAAACAGGTGTCGCCGCCTCCGAGCTCTGGCTGAGAATGGCAAGCCGACCAATCGCGAACGGGCGAGACAGGCCTGCATGCAGCAAAAGAAAGCAGGTGGCCTCCTAAGTGTAGTTTATCAGATAGTGAGCTACGAGATAACTCTTCACAAATGCCAGAAATCATTAGTCATGCTGAACCCTGAAATTCTGACATAACAATA